AGCAAGGCACCAACAATGCCGACAGGGACAGTCAAAACTAAGTTCACACGCATTTAAATACAACACCATGAGAAACAGCAACGAATGGGCTCCTTTGTGGCTGGTGCTGTTGCAGTCTTTGGTGGCCTGTGCAGCGCCAGTCCACAGCAAGGGCATTGTTCCACCACTGTTGAGCGACAGTGAGACATGTGGCTGTTCAATTTTGGGTGGCTCTTGGCTGCTCCTGGTTGGTGATGATCTAATTGTATGTTGAAACTATGTCAAGTAAATCATCATGTACCCATATGTGAAGATTTAGCAGCAGGGTAATGTACATATTTGCCAATGCTATGGTGTCACACACAGTAGCTCATTAATCTGCCCTTTCTCAAGATGCTCCCACTTTTGTCTTGTTTGTTAAAATAAAACCATTTTTGTGTTGTCAAAACCATTTGTATGAGGTTAAACTCACAAACAAAATCACTTTTCAAAATGACTGGACCTCTCATTTCAAATGACTGTAAGTTCCAAGAGCAGTGCTTCCAGCTCCTCCACTTCCTCCTCTTCCTCTTCCTCTTCTGGAAGAAAGCATGCAAGTCCCTTGGTTAAATGTTGGGCTTTTCCTTTTCAACTCCAATAGATATCTACTTTTTCCTTTCATACCACTCTCAACAGCTACCCACTCATCCACTAAAAAACCAAAGTTCAAGCAGTTTTGCACCCTGTTTCCTTGCCTTTTCCCCATACTTTACAAATTTCATGATTACTCTTCCTGCGCCTGTTCATCAAAATACACATATCCACACAGACATACAAATATAATGTGTACATTTTTGACAAATGAAAAATGAAAAAATGAAAAAGTACCATGGTCACTTTTTCATGAGCACTCTGTTCATGATTCCTCCATAGATTTTTGATGGCCTTAAAGCTCACCCCATCACTAATCCTCTCCTTTATGGTCCTCTGCCTACAGACCAGGGCCAAAGTTGTTCAGTCTCAAACCTCTCCTGATGTTCAATGCTTCAACTTTGCTCCTGGTCTGTGGGTTGCTGTGTGTGCTGATTCAGATGAGGATATTCAGGACTTTTGGATTGGTGAGATTATTAGTGTTATTTGAAAGAGGGTGAGTGTCCACTGGTGGAACTTCAGCAAAGGTTGCTGGGCTGACCATGGCACTGAGGGAACTGTCCCACTTGGGTCTGTTCTGGCATCCAAACTCTGGAGGCCCACCTGACACTCCAAGAAATCTACAGATACCTGTAAAATTTAACTTTCCTCTTTCCTCCAATGTACACTTCCTTGAAATCATTTTTTGTCTCATGTACACCACTTTTTTATTTCGTTGGAAAGTACCACTGTCACTTTTTAATGAGCACTCTGTTTGAGTGTGTATTTTGTTCATTTGACTTAGTGGTATGTGCTCTTCTCACCTGCTTACCTACCAACATAGATCATGTCTTCTATCAGCTTGTCCTTACCACCTACACCTCCACACCAAAGTGTTAAGCATCCTCAACCACACTCCACTTCCTGCCACTTCACTTCATGCCTGCTTCCATCTCAACTTCAGCAGCTACTGCATCAATGGAGCTTCTGCACAACCAACATCATCACAAGTGTATCAACATCATCATCATTCACTCCAACCCAACCATAATCACATCCTGGATTTAAGCAGCCCAGACTGTGGGGTGTCAACTCCCCTCATCCAGTACCACAACTTCTTCCCAACCTTCACCCCACTCCTCCAGCTCAACCTCCACAGCATCAGCTCCCCTGTGCAGGTACTCAACCTTCCCCTTTTTTTGTTGTGTACATGCATTGAATCACTGACTACTCACAAAATCAACAGCTTTCCCAGCCCTCTTCAACCCTGTGCCTCAGAACCATCCACTTATGTGGACACAGCAGTGCCCACAATGACCTGCACAAGGACAGCTGTGGAGCTTGACACAAGTTCCACAGGAGCAGGAGCAGGGACAGAAGCCCTCACCACAACTCTGACATTGACCAAATGCCTGACCACAGTCAGTGGCAATTAATCATCAAGCACACACTTGAAAACACCAGGTGGAGGAAGCTTTGCTTGATGAATATGGAGATGCTGTGCAGTGAACAAATAAGTTTATTTCAAAAGTTGGAATGATTGGACTAGTGGTAACTCCTATCCATATCAGTATCTTCAGAGTGGAAAGGCAAAGAAAATAAAAAACACTTGCTAACCCAGTGTCTTGAAGCCTCACATAACTCCAATCTTTTCCCATTACACCAAACTAATGTGACCTTGAATTATGGCTGATGGCCCAGTTACAGCATATTTCATTATGATGCCATTTTAATCTGCCATTTCTCAAGATGCTCCCATCTTGCTATTAAGAAGATATCAACAGTGTGGCACAGCCAACTGACTTTATGTGAGTTACATGTTATTGCTGGTCTCGTTCCTCTTCTGGGCTCTCTGGCGTACCAGCACAACCATGACAGCAGCCAAGAGCGCCGCGAGGGTGAAGCCGCCCACCAGGGCGAGGCCAGTCCCGATTGCGCCGTACCTCCCCGCAGGCTGCTGCGTCTCGCTGGCGTGCACGGTGCAGGCAAAGGAGAACTCGACCGTGAAGGTGGCATTGATGAGGTTGCTCCTGGACTCCACACGGTAGGTGCCCGGCGTGAGCACCGGCCCGACGACGGCCACGGTGCCGCGGTCGAGCACCACGTCGGGCATGGGCTGAGGCCCGGTGATGGAGATCACGTGGTCGAACAGGTCCCTGTTCTCGAGCACCACCACGTCGCCCACCGCCAGCCGCTGGCCCGCGAGGCGCCACGTACGCGCGTCCACGGTCTGCGACTCCACCAGGCGCAGCAGGTGTCTGGTCGGCGCGCTCCTGTAGGCGCCGGTGCGCGGCGCCACGCGGGTGACCACCGCCGGGTCCGTCGCGGCGTGGAAGTGGGTGATCTCGAACCACGTGTGCACGTCGTCCTTGGACTCCATGACCTCGCAGCAGTGGTCGTACGACGCCTCCCCGTTGCCGGCGTCGGCGTAGACGCAGCGATCGCAGCTGTCCCTGATCTTGCGGTTGAAGCGCACGCCGAACCGGACCGACACGGCCGAGCGCTCGGCCGATTGGAGCACGTACTGGCCCGGCTCCGTGACCACAACCCTGAGATCATTGCCCGGCAATAGTTGGGGGTAATAGGCGACCGCCTTGGCCTTGTTCGATGACGCTGACGACGGGTCGAGCTTCACGAGCCGGAACGTGTAGCCGTGGCCGAGGTGCAGGTTGGTGACGAGCAGGGTCTCGCCGGCGTCGAGCGCGTTGGACAGGACCACGGTGTCAAACTCGCGGATGAGGACGGTGGCCTGGGCGAAGGGCAGGAAGCAGCAGGTCGAGTTGTCGCCGCCGCACACGCCGCACAGGTCGTGCACCGCGCCCGAGTTGGGCACGCCGTCGCAGCCCGCGCACGCGGAGTTGTCGCCGCCGCACACGAAGCACTTGTCCAGCTCCTCGCGCTCACACACGCACGCCCTGCCGCCCCCCGCCCAATCCAATTGTTATTGATTATAATAATGCGTGTTGGAATTAGTATAGATGAGGATTATGATGGTGCGGTCGTACGGATCGGTGGGGAGGCGCCCGCCGAAGCACTGGCCGGCGCAGTCCTTGGCGGCGTTGAACTCGCGCCCGGTGGTGCCCAGCACGCACTGGCCGCACTCGTCCACCACGGCCTTGCCGCCGCACATGCCCGTGCAATCCTTGCCCGAATTGGCCACGTGGCCGTCGCCCTCCACATAGCACACGCCGCACTCGTCGCGCGTCGCGTTGCCGAAGCACGTCCCTTGACAGTCCTTGTGCACGTTCGGCTGCACCACCACCACCACCACCACCACCACCACCACCACCACCACCACCACCACCACCACCACCACCACCACCACCACCACGGCAACATTGGTAAGTACATTGGGGAGGGGGAGTAACCGACGAACGAGGGCCGGGGGCGGCAACGAACCGAAAGACCAGAGCGGCCGCCGACGCAGACGCCGCAGTCGCCGATGTGGGCCGTGCCGCGGCACGTGCCGGCGCAGTCCACCCAGTAGCCCTCGCCCCGGTCGTAGTCGGCCGGCGCCACGCACAAGCCGCACGGGTTGAGGCGCGCCGGGCCGTTGCACACGCCCTTGCAGTCCGCAACTGCCCCGTCTTCCACGCAACTCACTGCCTTCTTCTCATCCTCCTCCCGCTCCTCCATCTCCTGCTCCTGCTCCCCCGTCGTGGCCTGCAGGTGGAAGAACAGTAAATAAGATTACTAATAAAGTGCACACACACACACCACACGCACACGCACACACACGCGCGCACACACACACACACGCGCGCGCGCGCGCGGACAAACAAAGAGGAAAAGAGAGAACGAACCTGGTCACGTTGGCCGTATGGTCTCATGCAAGTAGGAGGCTGACCTTGGAAGATAACCATTCGGGCCGGGCCACCGCAAACGCCGAAGCAGTCGATCCGAGTGTCCCCGTTGCAGATTCCCGCACAGTCGCGCACAGCGTTGCCGTTGCACGTTCCCGCGCAGTCGAACACGCTGGTGCCGTGGCAGGTACCGCTGCAGTCCATCTGTGCGTTGGACACCCGGCCGGTGGTGCCGCCCGAGCACATGTCGCACTCGTCGATCATGGCCGAGCCGTTGCACACGCCGGCGCAGTCGATGGCCGGGTTGGGCGCGTAGCCTGGCGCTGTCCGATCGACGCACACACCGCACACGTCCACCTGAGCCGGGCCGAACAGGGTGCCCTGGCAGTCGCGGCACGAGGTGCCGTCGCCGCCGCACACGCCACACTCGTCCACGACAAGGTCCGGCGGCGTGACCAGCACCACGCCGTGGACCGCCGGGTTGTTGGAGTCGTGCCACACGTACAGGCCCGGGCTGAAGAACCTGTGCGGCATGCTCGCCGCGCCCGGCGCCAGCACCGCCGACGGCCCGTCGGGCTTGGCCACGATCGGCGCGAAGTTGAAGAGTCCTGGGAAGGCATAGCCGGCGTCCGCCGTCGCGGGGTTGGGGCAGCGCTGGAAGAAGGCGTCCTCCGCTGAACATTCCCCACTAGAGCGCGCTTCCTGCGACGAGCCGGACCGGCGACAGAGGCAGCGGACATCGGGCGATGACCTTGCGGCCGGGTCGAAGGCCGAACGCCTCACCTCGGCAGTCATTTGTGAGAAAGCCTGGTGGTGGGTGGCATGTGAGTGTGTGTGTGTGCGTGCGTCGTGTGTGTGTGTGTGTGTGTGTGTGTGTGTGTGTGTGTGTGTGTGTGTGTGTGTGTGGTATCTCACCGCTTCTTCTTCAGGTAGGAGCATGCCAGTCGAGTTGGAGAGTGATGTCATGCGATCGAGCCGCTTATTCAGTTCTACGAGCTTCGCCACCACTGACGTGCGCAGGCGCGAACGGTCGCTGGCGCTGGACCAGCGCACGCCGGCCAAACGAGCGCTGTGGGTGACGTCGTGAAGGAGGTACTCGGACACCTCTTCGGCTCTCGTAGTCGTCACGCTATCGTAGTCGGTCTCCTCCTCAGCGCAGCACACGCCGCCCATCACGAATTCCTCACCGGCGCCTTCCGCAGCAAAGGTGCCCACCTCCCTCGCCTGTCGGCTGCCAGATGGCCGAGTCGTCCTCCTGTACGTAGGTGGGTGGGCGTATAGTAATAATTGCTGGTTGGTTTGGTAGTCCGTTGCATGGTTTGTTCAGCGGGGTGTGGTTCGTACCAGCCGGGGAACAGGTCTGCGGTATCCCGGTCCTGCTGCGACTGGCCATGGCCCTCGCCGGCCCGGCGGCGGAGATAGGCCGACGTGGTGTCCGGGGCGGGTGGTGAAGGGCCTTCGGGAGGGGTCGACAGCTCCACGTGATCCTTGATCCACATCGTTGAGGCGTACTCCTGCACATGAACGCACACGCACACGCACACGACGAATTCAAAGCTGTTTAACCAACGTCGTCATTATTGACACAGGCGACCGAAGGGGAGCCACCTGTAGGACTGCGTCGAGAGAGTCGGCATCGGGCAGGTCGCCCAACAGAGTGTGGCCCTGCTGAGTCGCCAGCCGCGACAGATCGACCACTGGCGCGCCCTTGTAGTCGTAGGCCCCGCTCACGATCTTCACCTCCCAGTTGAGCAGGTTCTCCCACACCACCAGGTCGCCCACGCGCGCCCGCGTCACCATCGACGACCACGACGACGAGTCGCTGGGGGCGACGCTGGATCCGTTGCTGCTGTTGTTGCCGTTGTCGTTGATGTTGCGGTGGTCGATGCGCACGTAGTGCCACTGGGCCTGTGTCGGCTTGGGAATGCAGCACGTCGATCCGTTGCCGCCGCACACCCCGCACGCGTCCACCGTCTTGCCCGACAGCGGCACCCGGTCGCATCCAAGGCACGTCCCGTTGTTGCCCCCGCACACGCCGCACGCGTCCACGCGGCCGTAGCACGCCACTCTCACCGCGCGAGACACGTGCGAGATCACGTTGGCGGCCTCGGTCGAGAAGCCCGAGTGCAGGACGACGGCGTGCAGCTCCTGCTTGCCGAACAGCGCCGGGTTGCGCGTCTCCCAGAAGACCGACAGCTCGGACCTCTTGGTCTCGGTCGTCGAGCCGTTCACGCGCGGCACCAGCACCGTGCCGATGAGCCGGCCCGTGCCGCCCACGCCGCCGTGCCACAGCTGCACGAGCACGTTGGCCCGCGTGAACGTGTCGCCCAGCACCGTCGCCGTCACGTGGTACCCGATTGTCAACCCGCTCTCGTCGCTCGCCACCACGGGGCTCACCGCGATGGCAGGGTCGAGCCGCAGGGTCTGCAGCGTGTAGCCGCTGTTGGCCATGTCGTGGAACAAGAGGCTGTAGGCGTGGTTGTTGTCCTCGTGCATCTCGTCGAGCTCGTCGTTGTCGTCGATCGTCGCGTGGATGTTCTGCACGCCGTCGAAGCGGAACAGGAACCACACCTCGCGCTTGCCCTGGCTCGGGATCAGCCCCACCCTCTCGATGCCGACTGGCACACGCATATCACACACACACACACACACGTCACATACGGACGCGACACAGTGTGTGAGAGCCTGCGTGCGTGCGTGTGTGTGTG